GTAATTAAACTTACTGGCTTTGTTAAGCCGTCGATAGTCCACACATAGCCTTGGTCTTCCGTCCTTGCGTTTGGCCAATACAATCGGTGCGTTCCATGGACTCGTTGAACGCCGGATCTGCCCCTGCTTTAGCAAACCCCCGATCTCGTCCTCCACACTTGTACGTGCCTTCAAAAGGAACATACCTGGGGTGCTCGAACACGGGCTCTTCCTCTTTCATTATTATCTTGTGCTTGATGAGGTGAGTTTTTCCTAAGGGTTCACCCTTTAAATGGAAAGCTTTCTGATGTTCGCGAAGCAGTTGTACCGCCTCTCTCCGTTGTGTGCTTGACAGCTTCCAATCATGACTTCTGAGACTCTCTAGAAGACGTTGGAGTCTCTTCTCATCGTACTCGACAACATCCATACTTTCCCCATTAGGGTCGAAAGCATTTAATTCCTGGTGTAGAGGATCATCTATCTCCTCCTGCTCGGGGCATTCCTTTGCTTCTAGCAAGATGCTCATTAACGTGTACTTCTTCTGCCTCTGCTGCAAGGTGATATAATCCTCTGGGTTTAACACTCTTTCAGCACATTCTAACTCCTGGAGAGCTTCGACTGTGGTCGAGATACGTCTTGGTATCTGATAAGGTTGTGCTGAATGGTTGCAGATACTAACCAATAGCCTGTTATCTTGCGCATTGTGCACGCTGTCGATCAGCAGGACGTCGTTAGTTAGTTTCTTACCTCTCACTATGACACTCCACATGTATTGCAGCTGCTTGATTCGGCGGAATGATTTCCGCGGCGTCGTCCGAATTTACCAGTAGGATAACTTCCCTCGACATGTCGATACTTCTTATGGGCCCAATCTCTGTCGTTTTCATTCTCGTGGAAACGTTGCATCTCACGGATGATTTATTGGTACTTCTCGTGGAAGGTTCTTGTGCACTTCTCGTGGAAGGGGTATCACTAACCGTTATTGCAGCACTAAGAGGCAATAGTCGAATACTTTCCTCATCAACCTGTCTTGTTGCTCTCGCCGGATTACCTGCATGGCATGTTAGCAAATAGGCGTTCCACCGGTATACATGACCGGATTCAAAATCGATTTGTACCCCCGCTTGTCGTAACCATGCTACTCCAAGCAGCACTTGCAGCTCTCCGGGGAGTCTTAGTCTCTCCAGTTTCTCTCGTTCAATCACGGTTGGTGGACAGTAAAACACTTACTTCTCACCAACATTTATTATAATAAGAGAAATTATATAAGGGCTGTCCTTACAAAGA